GGGCTTTGACGCATGCCCACGTGCTCGGCCATGTGCCTCTTGGTACGACGTACCTGCCGCTTGAAAGTCACCAAATGTCAGCGAGTAACATTTCCTTTCAAGCATAAACGCCTTGAGTTCAGGACTCCCTGCCTCCAGCACCAGCTGCTTGATCAGGGCGCCCATGATGCGCTCATCTGCTGCGCCGAATCCATCGTCATCAGCCTCACCGTCATCATCATCACCCGCACCACCACTACAGTCCACACCACCTGTGAGCTTGGCCCACAGGCAGACCTCTTGTGCAATCCGCACACAGAACTGGTAAAAGGACTCTTCCGGGTTCTGATGCGTCGTGGTGAGCGCTCGCCAGGCCTTCTCCGGCGTCTTGCCGAAGGCGAGCAGCAACTCTCTCTTTGCGTCGTCATAACGACGGCAACCTTTACACGACTTCTCCAATCGTGTCCCCACCACCGCCACTCTCAGTCGAATCAGCCACTCATCCTTGGTAAACCCATTCTGGGTGGCCACGTCCTCGAACAACTCGAGGTACGTGGTGATCGACTGCCGATTGTCATATTTCGGCATCTTGATAGTCGCACGCTTAGTCACGTGACTCGTAACACTACTGGTACTCGCCAGTCTGCTCCGCGGACCCTCCGCTTGCGATACCGACTCGACCTCACGTTTGATGTCGGCCAACTTCTGATCATACTCCTCCCGCAGTTGGGCCACGGACCGGTTTTCCGCTCGTTCGTTTCTCTCTTTAACTTCAGCCAAACGAGCATCGACATATTCTCTGAGGTCATTCTCCTTATAACCGTACGCCGTACCGTTTCTGATAAACGTGGCCTCCAGATCGCCTAATTCTAACGATGCCATCCTGGCGTGGTCGCCAAAAAATGTGGCCAACAAGGCTCTTCAATAATACTTCACACAAGGGTCGTAGGAGACATCGTAGGCAACCTGGTTCCAACAATCACTCGATTGAAAGACAAAGAGACAAAAGACAAACGACAAGAAAACCTGAACAAGAAGGCCCGAAAAGGACCAAGATGTCCAGAAAAGGATAAAGAAGATAACGTAGTACCAAATTATCGTACAACACAGCAAGATGCGGGGGAACCATGCGCGCGACCGCGCGGGTTCACAAAAGCTCCCGTGGAACAGATATGGATACGTGATGTCAAAGAAAGCGAAAGGGTCAGGAGTACAAATCTGACACGGCTTCTAGATATGGATACGTGATGTCAAAGAAAGCGAAAGGGTCAAGAGAACAACTCTGACACGGCTTCTAGAAGACACACTACACTACTACGTCATGAGTACGCGACTGCACAGTCAGCGTAACTATAGAAAATATGGCGACTGGTCTGCAAGCAACGACCAGGTGCAGAACAAAATCAAACAAACAGAAATATTCAAAATACGGTTGTGAAAGAAAGAAGAAAAGAATGAAGCTGAAGGGTTACACCTGTCAGAGGGTGTTAGCACCCGACGCTGGGTGACAACAAACCCTGTCAGGTAGTGGTAAATAATCCTAACACTTCTGCAGCAGAACTTCAATCGCAGCGAAAATACATCTCAGGTAAGAAACTCTAGCAATAATTCGAGCGTCTCAATCTATCGTGATCCACTCACAACATACACATGCAAACAACTCGAAACAGAGAATGTATCGGTCTGCGACACAACCCATTCGCACGCTCAGGTTCCCCCGAACCTTTGACCTACCCACAACACGTACAAACCGGCTTAGAGACTCCCCCATCTATGCTTCTCTTGATCTCTTTAATAGCATCCCACCCAACATCCGGCAAATCAACCCCAGACGAGATTTCAAAGCAAACATCCTACCACTTGTCATCTCTTCCGTATGTACTTGCTCACACTGCTCAGCACATCTATAGCTCCATTGCGCAGCCTACGTGATTAACTCCCAATTAGTATTGCCATTGCTACTGCCTCAGCAAGCAGCTAAACTTTGATCTCTCTGTATCTGATCCCCGTGCCTGTAATTATTTTTCTCTTATTGGCCACAGGCCATCGTGAGAATAAACGAATTCAAAAGGCATCAGGGCCGATTTCCGATTAAAACTAGATCATGAGGCATACTCCATGAGTCAAATGAGTCCTTAACCCTTTCCATGCCAGCATGTTTTCCTGTGTTGGCCACGCATTGTTCAGGCTCTGAGCTGAACTGTTCAAAGCTGCACGCGCACCTCAGAACGAAATTTGTTGCTATTTCACTATACCTTGATGGATTTTCACGATCCATGGCTTGTTGGAAAGATCTGGACAACAGGAAGCCATTACAGGGACTCGCAGCGCGACAGGCATACCAGGGCCACTTCCATCTCCTCTCAAAGTCCCCCTACCATGCCTGAAAGTAACAAAACGACTGCCTCTCATGTTTTCTTTCGTCTTCTTGCTCATTGTGAACTGATTTTCACGATTCAAACTGCGTTGGAAAGCTGAGATTCAAGCGCGTTTGTTGCAGCTGACTGCGCACGCGCTGTGTTTAGGGGAAATCCCCTAGCCCGCACGAAGTCGCGAACAAAAAATTTGAATCGATCGCCAAAAAATGAAATTTGCGCATTCTGGCCGTTCAATTTATCGCCGCTCGGTCATACCTTGTCGTATCGCGAAGAACTTTATATCCCTGGAAAGCTGAGCTCAAGACCTTTCCAGCGGTGTCTCAACCTTAGCAGTCCGAGATATTTGGACGGAGTTATGATAGTTTGTACACTCGTCTATAGCGCGCGATACACATGTACTGTACAGTGTACATTGTACAGTGTAGGCAGAACGCGTAAACGCGTCCGTGGCCAATCGGCTCATACTAAAAAAACGCGTATACGCGTCCATGGCATGGAAAGGGTTAATCATACGGTATAGCATAGCTCACCCAGCCTTCTCAACAGACTTTCAGGTTTCTCACCCCAAACCTTACATCAAATACTAGGCTTGACATATTACTGCCATGTGGAATACACTAGAAGAGTGCCGAATCGTTCAATGCATAGTTCGGTCGATTATTCCGCACATTTTCGTGTTGAACTGTCTCTCGATTTTTGAACGTGTGATTTGTTTCTCTAAACCTCTTTCAGCGCCCTTACTTTCATTTCAAACCGTGCATGCACGTCGCCGAGCAAAACTTTCGCCATGTTTGCACTCATGGATGGATTTCCACCATATATGGCTTGTAGGAAAGGCCTGAGCCAAGCGAAGACTCTCTGGCAGTTCTCAGCTCCATATGCATGCTAGGGCCACTTCTATGTGCTCTAGAAAGCCCTTACATGTGTCAGAATCCCTAAACAACTTCATAATACATTTTTGTTCGCCATCTTTCTCAAACTAAACCAAATTTCACGATTCAAACTGCGCTGCAAAGCAGAGATCCAAGCACTTAGTTTGATGCCCAACACGCATGCGCTGTAGCAAAGGGAAATCCCCTAAAAAAAGCGAGTCGCGAGCAAAAAGTTTGAACTAAGGGCCAGAAAGTGCATTTTGATATTTTGCAATTCTATTCATCATCGCTCACTCAAATCTAGTCATATTGCAAAGATCTTTATATCACTGGACAGCTGAGTTCAATACCTTTCCAACGGTATATTGCTTGTGAAAATCGGCCGCCGTTGACAAGAGTTAGGACAGTTTGTACAGTAATATATGCACTTCGTACTTGTCGCAGACCGATACATTTTCTGTTTCGAATTTTGCATGTGTGTGTGTTGTGAGTGGGTCACGATTGATATGATTAGAACGATTGTCTAGTTAGTCTAGTGTGTTTACGACGCATGCATTTAGACGCTCGAACTATTGCTAGAGTTCCTTACCTGAGATGTATTTTCGCTGCGATTGAAGTTCCCCTGTTGAAGTGTTAGGATTATTTACCACTACAGTGTCTGCTCCAGCGCCGGGTGAGCCGGGTAATCCACCCGGTTGGGCGGCGCTTGGACCCGGTTGAAAATATAGTACCGGGTCACCTGTGACCCGGTTGGTACTTTACACTTTCGAACTTTGAAAGGACTGACTACATGGCTTGTATGTGTCAGATACTTCTTCTTCTTTCTTAATTTAAACTAATTTTCTAATTCTTGTCCTTTCTTTTCTAAATGCGGCTTATCCATTCGCCGTTATATCATTGGGCCTAGTTCCCGTTTATTGTCCGAATTAAAATAAACCAACCAACCAGTTTTAAAAGCATGTGACTCGGCTGGTGAGACAGCGCCAGGTACATGTGTACCCGGCTCCGACCCGGTTGAAATGGTTGCGCCAGGTATATGTGTACCCGGCTGTCCTACAATCCTAGAGCAGACACTGCACTACCTGACAGGGTTTGATGTCACCCAGCGTCGAGTGCTAACACCCTATGACAAGTGTAACCCTTCAGCTTCATTCTTTTCTTCTTCCTTTCACAAGCGTATTTTGAATATTTATGTTTGTTTGATTTTGTTCTGCACCTGGTCGTTGCTTGGAGACCAGTCGCTATATTTTCTATAGTTACGCTGGCTGTGCAGTCGCGTGCTCATGACGTAGTAGTGTAGCGTGTCTTTTAGAAGCCGTGTCAGATTTGTACTCTTGACCCCTTCGCTTTCTTTGACATCACGTATCCCTATTGATGTTCCACGGGAGCTTTTTGTGAACCCGCACGGTCGCGCGCAGGGTTCCCCCACATCTCGCTGTGTTGTACGATAATTTGGTACTACGTTATTTTCTTTATCCTTTTCTGGACATCTTGGTCCTTTTCGGGTCTTCTCGTTCAGGTTTTCTTGTCGTTTGTCTTTTGTCTCTTTGTCTTTCCTTCGAGTGATTGTTGGAACCAGGTTGCCAACGATGTCTCCTACGACCCTTGTGTGAAGTATTATTGAAGAGCCTTGTTGGCCACAGTACTATTGCGTGAGCTATCTCGTAATCCGCGGTTCAGGCACAATTTACAGAGCGAGATACCTCGTCATTAGCACTGAAAGGGTTAACGACTCATTGTACTTGGATTTATGTGTGTTACTTGTGTCCAGAAGCTTGGCCTCAACCATCAATGTTGCCTCCAACTACTCGCCCGCCAGAGAAAAAGCCAATCCGCCAGCATGCTTCGGGTGTTTGCGAAATTAAAAAATACTACACCATTTCTGATTGCACGAGTCAAGGCCTCGTTGGAATACCGCTCTATCTGAACACGGCTACACAATATCTGTGAGTTCATTACTTGCTTGCTGCCTGTGTTCTAGTTTTGGAGATATATGGGCCAGTGCATACGAAAACGTGTCTTCGGGGAAACCGATTTCGTTCAGAATTTTGAGAAAATCGCTCGGAAAGAAGAGTTATTTTTTTTTGTGGCTCGATCGCGGATCTTGTCAATCGATCTCAAGACGACAAGAGAAGTGACAAGCGATCGACTTGCAGCAATAGTCATGGACGTGGCGGCGCAGGAGGAGTTGGAAGTAGCACTTGAGGAAGGGCCTCTGAGTAGACACACTCGTGGCAGACGCCGAGCAGCACGTCGGTTGAGCTGTGCCGCTCGCGTGATTATCGTCGGTGCGGCCAAAGACATCGGCAAGGTTTACTATCGAGGAGGAAGACGACAATTTATTTGGCGAGTCGTGAGTCAGAGCAGTCGGCAACTAGCAGCTATACTGCTCACAGTGACTCTGACGAAGCCCCAGCTATGCGTCCGGGAGTGAAAGACTCCTGCGTTGAGGTTGAAGGCGAGTCGAGAGCGGATGAATTAGGCGGAGATTATGTGGACGCTGAAAGCGACGATGACCAGGACGCGCTTCAGAGGATTGCCGCTGTGGACTCACTGATTCTTGAAGGCTGTGGCTGCGTTCGGAACTACCATTTCAGCAGCTTCACGTCGAGCGCAATCCTCCATTACGACGACTAAATTTCGGCGATGAAATCGAAGGACCTCGGCATTTTTTATATCGGTGTGCTGGCTGCGCTGCACGCATGACGATCCTGTCGACTGTCGTGCATCAGTCGACAGCTTCCGCAACGGAACGGACAAGCTTCACGTTTGGATAAACTGTGATGGGATACATCGTGTGTGGAACCGCGTTTATGCAGCTCCATGTGGTTGACAAAACATGACTGTGTGCAAGTGGACAAGGAGAACAATAGCTGTCATCCTGGTGCACATGGAAATCTGGCAATGTGCCTTGGAATAAATTTTGTGCAGAAGTGGGAGACAGAGCGCAGCAGTTCATTCTGAACTACAGCTTAGAGTTCAGTCTCCCTTTGCCTGCAGCACCAAGAGGGAGAGGTGAGGAATCTCCCATAAACTTACCTACATCTGTCGACTACAAGTTTGTCCTTTCGGAACATGTTGAGCTGTCAAGTGCAGCGCAAACCCTGGGTTACCCGTTAAATTTTCGTATCTGTGGACTAAGAAGTGCAAGTCCATCGAGTTCATGACGCGACGGATGGACGTGTGCAACAAGTGTGAGCTGCTTCGAGACGATATTCGTTCTCCTCGTGCACAGGATGAAAAGAATTCTGCAACGGAACCATTGTGACCATGTTGTCTTTGCACAAAAAGAACGCGAGTTCTTGTTAGCTCAACGACACAAGAACTTGCTGGACAATGTTGCCTGGTTTTGACTGGAGAACAAGGCAGCCTTCATTGAATGTCTTGGCCAATAATACAAAAGGCTGATACGCAAAACTGTTGCTGCTTTCAGCGACACTGTAGATAATGCATTATACAAGGCATATTCTATGTTGGACAATGCCATAGAAATCATGGTCTCTATGTACTTTCAAATGTGATATCCAACTTTATCTTCCACAGAGGTGTTCTCTAGACCCCTGTGACTGATTTTCAAGAAAGAAAAAAATTTCGAAAAATTTGCCCTTATAGGCCATTCACACGACGGGCAAACTTACTTTTATCGTACTGTTTCCAAGGATATTTACTCGGATACGATAAACTTGGACACACGCGAGCAACTGATTTTTTATCTTGGCCGAGGCCCTTTTGCTCGCGATTATCTTTGCACGCCAGGAAAAGTGTCGGTTGTTGAAAGTGCGTACTGCAAATGCAGTGCTTGAACAAGGGAAAATTCAAAATTGAACATTTCCCGGCATTTTCAGGAGGTCACTATGGATACATTGACGGTTGCAAAGTTTGCCCAGCACCGTGTGAACTGGATCACAGTTTGCCAGTGTTATCTTGGTCACACGCGTGCAAATGTTTGCACGTCGTGTGAATGGCCTATTAGACTCGGTGTTGTATGCACTGGCCCATATAGTACCGCGAAAACGTCCCTTCGCAGGATGTTGAAGACATAAATAAAGTTGTTGTGTGCCCTTCCCGGCATTTAGTTTTCAGTGCTGAAGGTCGTCAATGTATTCCGGTGCTTGTAACGGAATCCGCTGATCATCAGGTGCACTTCTAGAACCGGATCGATGAATTATCCAGGCAGGTAGCAGGCCTAAGCGAGGAGGTTTCGGCCCTCAAAGAATCCGCGATTGCCCAACTACCGGTGCCGCAGACCAATACATTCTCTGTTTCGAGTTATTTGCATGTGTATGTTGCGAATGGATTACGATTGACATGATTAGAACGATTGTCTAGTTAGTCTAGTGTGTTTACGACGCATGCATTGAGACGCTCGAATTATTGCTGGAGTTCCTTACCTGAGATGTATTTTCGCTGCGATTGAAGTTCCGCTGCAGAAGTGTTAGGATTATTTACCACTACCTAGCAGGGTTTGATGTCACCCAGCATCGTGGGCTAACACAGGGCTTGCTCGCGTGCACCACTTTATAATATGGCACCTTCGACTGAACCGTTCTCAGCTCGTCGTGCAACTTCGACAGTCGGGCAATAGCATCTCTGTCTCCATCGCGTGTCGTGCTCTGGCTTGCCAGCTTTGCATCCAGCTCTTCCAGCTCCTTCTCCAGTCGGTCATATTATCATCATTATTATTATTAAGCTTACGTGGAGATAAAAATGTAATCAACGCAATAAATAGAGTAAGCTGCGCACTCAGTACAAACACCATTAGCAAAACTTGTTTTCATGTAAATAACTAAGCTTGTTCCTAAACGTTTTCGTCGCCATCTCATCAGAGGATTACTGGCAAATCAAAATTAGCTCTAAACTCAATATATATATACGCACAATGCAAGTAATAATTTAGACCCTAACTAGCGCGAGAAAATGAGAGCTGAAAGAAACATTACATCAATCAACGATATCAGGTGACAACAGATGCGATAAATTCACCACTAGAAAGTAACCATGCACCACAAACGAGAACTACTGATCTAAATTCACAAACAATTTCAACGTAAACAAATTCTTTTTCTGCCTACACAAAATCGGCTTGGTGGTAAAAATGTAGATAGACTCCAATACACGCAGATACCTTTGACTACGTGAACGAGACCAAACAGAAAAACAATCATCAGTATAACTAGAACGACAATCACTATTCTGAACAAGATGGTTTGCAACAGAAGATTCATACACCCTAACACCACTACTAGAACCAGTACATACTTTGGAATTACGTGACAATGAAACCGACCTGACATTCATTGCCGCTACTGCCAATCCAGACGAGGCCGATGTAGATGTCAGTACCAAAGACACGTCCGTTACTGGCACTGCCTGCTGCGATGATGCTCCCTTTGACGTTTCAATGGCCGTTGGTGTTGATGAAGAGGAGGAGGGAGATGAGGAAGATGCTGACGACGACGATGACGACAACGACGGAGACGATAAAGACTCTGCTAACCTCGCCCTAGAGCGAGTCACTGGTCCCGCAGACACACCATCCGGTGGTTTCTTCGGTGGCCGGCCACGCTTTTTTCCACGGGAGGTGGACACACCGGATGACGGTACCAAGGAAGTCAAAGAAGACGAAACCGCAGATACCAACGGTGATGACGGGACAGAAGGAAGAGACGGCGAAGACGAAGGCAATGACGAACAAGCCGATGGCGACGAAGAAGACAACGACACCCCAGTTGGTTCCGTCCCCAGCGAGGGTGCACCTCCAGTCTCAGCACCATTCTTTGGGGGACGACCTCGTCTAGGCCTTGACGACCGTGCCTCAACAGGCATAACGTGAAGAGGCACATGCTGGTGGATCCGTGCCTCCAGTAGTTATTTACATGAAAACAAGTTTTGCTAATGGTGTTTGTACTGAGTGCGCAGCTTACTCTATTTATTGCGTTGATTATTATTATTATTATTATTTTCAGGCACAATCTTCCTCAGCCTACTCAAGCTCAACTGATGAGGGGTGAATTCCCCGAAACACTGTGTATCGAGCAGGGCGTGGTGCTTTCTTGCAGGTTTGCCGAGTCTAAGGTTCGATGGACTTCTCGTGTGCTCTGGATGGCAGTCGTGAGTCAGTCAAGTGTCAAGTAAAGTCGGCGGAATAGCGCGAGCTCCGGTGTGGGGAGCAAACCCTTTATTATTATTATTATTATTATTAGAAAGGGTTTGCTCCCCACACCGGAGCTCGCGCTATTCCGCCGACTTTACTTGACACTTGACTGACTCACGGCTGCCATCCAGAGCACACGAGAAGTCCATCGAACCTTCGACTCGGCAAACCTGCAAGGAAGCACCACTCCCTGCTCAATACACAGTGTTTCGGGGAATTCACCCCTCATCAGTTGAGCTTGAGTAGGCTGAGGAAGATTGTGCCTGAAAAGCACCACTTATATAGTGCTCTCCAGGCACAAACATCACCAGGGATACAAACTTACAGAGATGCTCCATTTCCAGCGCGACAAACACCTCGTGAACACCAGATAGCAGCGTGAGTCAGTGTCGCTCCTGGACGGTGAGACCAGACGTTGAGGACCCTCGGTCATTCGCAACGCTGTCAACTCCAAACCAACTAGTCGCAAGCCCGCGCTGGGCACAACAGTACGAAGTAGTGGTTGCGACTTCGGCGATGATTTGTTAGAAAGGGTTTGCTCCCCACACCGGAGCTCGCGCTATTCCGCCGACTTTACTTGACACTTGACTGACTCACGACTGCCATCCAGAGCACACGAGAAGTCCATCGAACCTTCGACTCGGCAAACCTGCAAGAAAGCACCACTCCCTGCTCAATACACAGTGTTTCGGGGAATTCACCCCTCATCAGTTGAGCTGGAGTAGGCTGAGGAAGATTGTGCCTGAAAAGCACCACTTATATAGTGCTCTCCAGGCACAAACATCACCAGGG